CTAGAGACACTAGCAATATACATACGAGTACTCGAGACTACGTCCGGACCCACGGAACCGTCACGGTTACACTACATACTCCTAAGTGTTGTTTCCAGTTGATTTGAGACATATATCAGCGGAACAAGGTTGCAATTAGATTTTTATGTATCAGAGATATTTTTCTCAACGTATTGAATCGATAAAATGGCTCCTGTTCCTCACATCCTTGTGGTTCAAGTTGCGTCATTCACACATGTCCCTCCCTTTGAAACAAACAAAATTCTCCACATTTGGGCCAGTTGACAGCATCGCGTGGTAGTGCACAGTAAATTTTGGTCCTTATTTGGAGGAAAATAGGCGGGGTGGTCTCGAATCGCTCATTCTCACCAATTCTGTGATAGTTAGGTTGGAATCGTTCTGCTTTCCAGTCTCAAATCTCGTCCAAATGCAAGGAATGGGTAAACGCTCAGAAAGCGCGTGATAAAAGAGGCCTCGATAGCTTGGTGCTGTCTGAATTCAATTGTGAATTCTTCCGTTGATAATGTCTTCCTGAACAGATGAGGCGATGAACTTCGAGAAACTGTGCAGCATCATCACATGCCTTTTCTCATAAATTTCCGCCCCCCCGCCCCCCCCCACCCCCCAAACCGAAGCCAAATTTTGTCTTGGACACAACGGTACCCTGTCAGAATCTGCTTTGGCAATCTCCATTACCATCTTCTCCCTGCCCTGCGCCCTCACTCGATTCCATATCGATGCTTCCCGTTGCTTCAACCCCTTCAGCATCTCGCAGATCAAGCTGCAGCTTTGGAGTGGAGCAGAGTGAAAGAACGGCGTGGAAATTGGGAGGTAGTCGAGAGAGAGCTTGAGATTGGGGAGTTTTGTGGCGTTGGAGTGAGTGAGTAAATTTGGAAGGAACAAATGGATTCCAACACACTAGCCCAACTGAGCACTAAGTCTCTCGGATATCAACTACTCAGCATTAAATGGTCACGTCTCTCATTACGGAGGTTCTCCTTTTCGCTCATATCCGACTTCTGCACGCCAATCACGAGCATTGTCCCACGCTGTAGAGGCGCTCGTTCCCAAGGAGGTCTCCAAGGTCAAGGAGGGCGAAGGAGACTATCCTAATCAAAGCCGCGATGGCGATGCAGGCGGAGATTGTCCCGCACGGTAGGGGAGGATCCACAAAGACCGTGCTTTACAAGAAGAACAAATGGTGGACAGAGGGGCTCATCTCTGCCGCACAGGCTCTGACGTTTGCGACCAACTTGCTTGTGGATGCTCCCGATGGTGTGGTGAAAGGGATCAGGAAGTTGGAGAAGCTGGTGGTGGAGCTACCTAAGTGTCTGCCTGCTGCGACAACCCAGCTTGCTGCCGCATCTCATGTCAAGGGTCCAAGTCTCAGGAGAAGTTAGATGCAGCGGTTATGGCGGTTGGGTAGCCCAGCAAGCTTTTGGTGAAATCCGCCAGAGACGGTGTGCCAAGGAGCAGGCAGCGGCTGACGTGTGGACGAACCAGATCAGGATCGCCGATATGGAACAACAAGTGAAGATTTTGGAGCTTGAGAGGGACTTGGCCACTGCATGGCAGAAGCTTGCGGAGAGACACGGCGTGAGGCGTACTATTCGGACAAACCTTCCATGGGACGACATGAAAGATTCGATTGTGACATAAGTTGGATGTTGGTGTCTCACTCTACTGCTTGATGAGGAACGTATATCATCAGTATTGGTGCAGGCTTCAGTGTGGCTGTGATTTGGATTTTGAAATACATTCTGGCTATTGTACGTTTGATTTACTTTTTCTCCAAGGTCATGACGACTTGGTATGTTTCACCAGCTGGCGGGGGAACAGGGAACCCAGTCACCGTTGTAGATTGACCCTGACTCCGAGATGTTGAAGGGGACAGGCAAGCCATAAAATAAACCAGAACTAAATAAATGTTGTGAAGGGTCAAACAAACAGGTACCTTGGCTCTTGTAGCACAGTCGGCAGTGCACGGTACTTATAGGAGGCTCTGCTTCTATGCTATGCCGTGGTCGCGGGTTCGAGCCCCGCCAGGAGCAGGTTTTGCTGATAGAATCGGTTTCATTTTTTTGCGCCAGTTACATCGCAAGACGACCTTGTACGCTTGCGAAACGCCAATAACGTATAATAGGAACGAAAGGTAATCGGATCGAGCACCCTTAGCCAATCTCCAATTCAGAAAGAAGTAGAAGGTGATATTTGAAGCTCATTCTGCATTACGCACGTTTGATGCTTTCCTTTGGCAGAGACAAAACCCTCAAGTCTCTTTCAATTATTTGTGTTGATCGGCGACAGCGGCTGTCCACAAAATCGTCCAACTGGGCTCCACCACGGTCCGCCAACGACTCAGAACTCAACAGTCCAACTACCTATCCAGGATCGATCCCCGACAAAGTTCCAGAACCGATAATCGTGGTGAAGTGAATAGCTGGGATACGGGACAAAAACTCCCTTCACTGATCCCCGCGGGTCTAGGACACCTTCGCCCGTTGAATCTCGTCCATAGTCGACCCTTATCATACACTAATCCGCACGAAATCAACTGAGCTATGGCGACGATTCGCAGAGTATCTCGGACTCGCGTGTCCTATATCATCACGGACGATTACACCGATTTCTCGCATCGGGCTGGCATCAACGCGCTCGCCATCGACACAGACACTCATGTCGCGTGGGGGGGAGACACTACTAAGGCAGATCGTGGTGGTATCTTGTACTCTGGTGGCAGGGATGCCGTGGTGAACTCTTGGGATCTCCACTTGGCACTCGGGAGACGCAGCCACCCACCGCAGAAACCTGATGAGGCCGAACGCATGGATTTTTTCGGTAGCACGGAACCCTCTCCTTCTTCTGCGCCCGTTTCTTCCACGTTGAGCGAACCTGACTTGGTCAACGGTCGAACCCCACACGCCAAGAAGCTGTCTCAGTCCCAATCTTCATTCGTTGCTTCCGGACTCTCGTCCACAACGGGTGTTGCTTCTTCTCCCGCTGCTGCTCGTGCGCCTCTGGAGATCTCTCTAGACTCTCACCGACGTGTTTACTCCCCTCCCGCCACTACACATCGCTCAACCTTCCGTCACCACTCGGATTGGATCAATGACATTGTTCTTGTCAACGGAAACAAGCACTGTGAGTTTATTAAATATGTGGCGACACGGTTATCGGAGGACCAGCTCTTGCCTTGAAGCTTTGGCAAGAGCATCTAGAATCTGTGATCACTTGAGTATCGCTCTCGAAACACGAGAGAGTTTAAATCGTCTTCCAATTAACCAATCTGAATGCTAGTTGTCTCCGCCTCTAACGACCGAACGCTCAACCTGTGGACGGCGCACCCTTCAAATGAGTTCGACAGTGCTTATTTGGTTGGGCCCCCTGCCAACCCACCTTATTTGCCCCAACCCCATCGCCTGGGAGCCCATACGGACTACGTCAAATCTCTCGCAGGGGCGCCTCTTGCTAACTGGGTGGCATCGGCCGGGACCGACCGTCGAATCTGCCTCTGGTCTCTTCAGGAATGCAGACCGGCCCCTGTGCGCTCACTATGGGGTGTAAATCTCTATAATGAGGGCGCAACCGTAGTGATGGGAGAGCCTCAAGCGAGCGTCTATGCCGTTGGGACGAACAAAGTTGGGTCAGTGTTGGTGAGTGGCAGCACCGAGGGATACGTCAGGTGTTGGGACCCAAGAGTGCCAAGAAGGACGGTGAAGATGGTTGGACATACAGACAACATCAGAGCGGTTGTCGTAAGCGAGGATGGTCGATGGGTGAGTTCCAGAGGGGTTGCGTCGGTTCAATCGCGAGTATAGCCTCATCTTCATGGCGCACTCGGACGTCCATTTCATAATTGGGCTCCCCCCTCTTTGTATGTATTCGGCGTTTCTCTAGGTACTGTCTGCGTCATCTGACGCCACAATCAAGCTCTGGCACCTCGCCTCACCTCACCGATGTGTCGCCACCTGGTCTCACTCGGCGAGCTCGGTTTGGTCGCTCTTCTCGACGCACCCAACCCTTGACGTCTGGTGGGCTGGTGGTAAAGACGGCTGGATATGGAAGGGTGGACGTGGTGCTCATGAAGCCCAGGGAGAAGGCAAGAGAGTTAAGAGTTACGAAGAAGAGCCGGGAGATGTAGTCGCTGTCGGAAGGGAGAGCAATGGAGTTGTTAAGGTGAGTGTAGCATTCTCTCTCGGAAAGTCTGTGATATAAACCGGATGTTAAAATACTGAAATTCCTGACCAGCTTGTTGCCGTGGATGACCTTTTCGTCTGGACTGCAACCTCATCTTCTTCCATTCACCGTTGGCCAGATGTCCCTTTTGGCGTTACAAAGCCGGTTTACTATACACTTCCCACTCCCTCTGTCGACAAAGAACCCTCCACTGCGTCTTTCCTATACCCGGCATTCATTCCATCAGCAAACGAACCTACTAATCCTTACACTATCCCTGCGTCGTCGATAATTCGTGCTGCCAGCGGGTCTCCCCTCTCAGCTTCCAAGACTTCTGTCCTACCCACAGCCGAACGCGCCGAAGAGTCCGAGGAGCTTGAAGTGGAACCGGCTAATCATAATCCGGACGCCATGGGCACAATAAAAGGGATGGCGGGAATCGTATCTTGGCAGGTGCTCAATAACCGGAGGGAAGTGGTCGCCGTTGACAGTGAAGGTGGTGTGGCGCTTTGGGATATAATTCGCGTAAGTAACGTATTTCCTTGTGTGCTCAAGTGTCAGGTCTTGTTTCTTTTTCGCACATACCTCTTTTTCCTTCTGTTAAGTGTGTAAAAACCAGGACCCTTCCTGCCCATACCCCTCTTGCCTCTGTCTTGGCGGATCCCGCCATTAATCCCCTTGACTGGAGTGCCACATGGTGCACTCTGGACGCACGCACGGGCAACCTCACAGTCCATTTGGAGGAAAGTCGAGCTTTCGACGCAGAAGCATATTGGGAAGACGCAGCCAAGGGTGTTGTAGGGGTTGAAGTGGAGGATCAAAGAGGTTGGTAGTCCAAATTATGGACATGTAGACCGTGTTACTGACAAGTGAAGCACTGTGTTAGTGAATGTTGGTAAATGGATCCTCACCCACTTATTCCACAACTTCCGCGAGGCGTGCAAGAATCCGGGTTTCAAGGGCTCACAGTCGATTACTACGATGAACACCTTGGCGGTCACCGACTCCCCTGTTCGCGAACCAAATGGCGAAGTGCCCGGCGGTGGAGGTGCCCGTGACACGGCAAACACGGCAGCCCAATCTTCCACACTACCCTCACGTAGTTCCTACGATGGCGCTCATGCGTCATCGGTGGACGAGATCACCGGCCCGAAAGTTTCTCTTCCAACATCTCTGGATCCAGCAGCGCCTGTCCCATCAAATGCACCTAGCACCACCGTTCTTGTCACTGGGAACTCTACCAGTGCCAGCGCGCCTCCCACCCCGGTACCATCAGGTCCACCTACTCCAGACAGACAAATGAGTTTCGGAACGGAGAAACCTGCTGCTGGAACCCCACCGGCTTCATCTAGTGGATTCATGGATATGTTTAAGTGGAGGAAAAAGGGTGGAGACGGTGGTACTTCAAACGATCGGACGCGGTCAGGCACAAACGATGAGGTAAGTTTCAATTGTGTCGACGTGAAGCAGGAATACGTCTCACCATATCATCAAATGATGAATTGCCCTCAAAGGACTCCGTTGGGGGAATGGGGGCCATCAAGCCCGATCATCCGCCGCTGGTTCTACCTCCGCAAGTCCCCATTATTGTATCAGTTGAAGAGTCTTCTGAGGCCAGCAACTTTCTGGATCTATACCGTGGTACTGCAGCCACAATAGGAAATCCCGCAGATGTTGAGAGACTCCGCCAAGTCATACCAACTTGGGTGTACGAATTTGTGGTAGAAAAGAAATCTAACACCAAGGAACCGGTAAAGATGAGCTTTGTTATGTCTCCGGCTCTGGGATCAGACTTACCGGAACTCCCGAACGGGTGAGTGGTGAGAGGACGTTCTCTGCATATGTCTGTGTCATGGAAACCGTTTTCAAGGAACAACCGGTTATCCGCTAACCGCATGCTCCGGATCAAGAAACTGCTATCTTACATCGCAGAGAAGTTGAGTCTAGAAGAGTCGACGAAGGGTACTGGACAACTTAAACCTGAGCAGTTTTTGGAGCTATGCTGTCATGGACAGGTGAATTGTTCAATGGAAGTGCTACAGATAGCAAGGCAGTCAAAATATTAACGACGCACTCTCCTTACGTCCATAAGTCGCTTGATTCAAAACTTACTCTGGCTGCTGTTCGCTACAACTTATGGAAAGGCGGGGGTGATATGGTTTTGACTTATCGATACATTGTGAGAAATGTGAGCTCCCATGAAGTAGGTTTGAATCAGGGCTGAAAACTTCACTCATCGCACCACCAATTATTCCTCAGCTTGATGCGAGGGGTTAAACCTCCGAACTACTTCGGTTCCCCATATTGATTTTGAATTTAAGACATACGAGAGCGAGAAGGGCTTAGGGTACTATGAAATATGAGTAAATCAAACAAATACGGTACATCCTCGGTGCGTACTGCTTGTTCGTCGTGAGTTATCGGTTGGTGAAACGGGGAACATCGCTCACTCCCAACAAATACATGCACACATGTCGGGGTCCGGGTTTTTAAAGTCAATGCGGTCATCGACTGACCTACGATCGTCCTCGAAGAAGACTCGAGAGTCCCGGGAAGCGCGGGAGACCGCAAGCGTATCGCTGTCTCGAAGATCAACTGATCAATCCTTTGCCCAGCCACCAACACGCGCAGCCTCAGTCGTACATCCTTCCCCTCTGAGTAACACGAGAGAGTCCCGAAAATCGCAAAGAGGATCAGCCGGCGGATCCAGTGGAAGCATTCCAGATCCATACTCAGTGCCCACGGATCCCCCTTATGTCGAGACTCCACGGTCGAGGAGGTCCGAGGATACGAGGCGACGAGTTACACAGGAGGAAGAGAAGAAACGTGAGTCTGGATGGGGAGTTCTGGGACCAGAAGGCGAAAATGTTGACAT